TTCTTCCTCAGTATTGAAATTAAATTATCTATTTGTGGTTTATACAGATTCTTATTGACTGCAGTTAATGTTTGTCTTGTTTTAGACTCTTTATTTTCCTTCCTAGTAATTTCCTCTTCAGAAACTCTGGACTTGTACTATGTATATTTCTTGCTCCTACAGCAATTTCAATGTAGATGGCCGAAAGGGAGAACCGGAACATTTTGCAAAAACAATTAAATTCTAAACTCTAAACTTTTGTGGGCCTCTCTTGTGACTAAAACATCTAAGATGGTAGCTTATCTTCTATTATTCAACTTCATCCAGCCCTTATTATTGTTTTCAGAGCTCTCGAGAGTGTAAAAAATTATTTGGAAACATTTTCATTTATAACATATTTGGATATATAAATATATCCAAAACTGTAGTACAATATTTGTTTTATGTAAAGATGGTATCTCACTGACATCGATCTGCTGCTAACTATCTCTAGCTAATGTGATGTCTATTAGTTGCTTATGTTTCGTGTTCATGACATGTTGCTTATGTTCAACATTTCAAAAATGCTTGTAACAATGAATTGTAGGAAATGCTCACCTCTTTGGTTAGGGTTGCTTCAGGTCAGGTGGTGTGCAGTAGCTTTGCAGCTAATTATAAGCTGTGATCCGACTAATCGGCAGGTCCTTACTTACTATTCTACATCCCTGGTTTGTTGAGGGTTCCAAACCATATGATAGGTCCGCTGATTCAGTTATGATTTTTACAGAGCTGTCCTCACTAGTCGTTTTTAATTTCCCCGCCATTATGTCCTTTGTACCGAATCACCTCAATGACAGTATAACCCTTTTCTGTTAATTATACTTACTCTTGGGGTCTCTTAGATTTTCTTATAAATGTTAACTTCCCCCGGACATCTCCCAATCCCATGAATTTTTCCCTGCAGAACCAGATCTCTAAAATCTCGATAACGTGAAAATTGTGCTGGTGATAATGTTTTGAAAAAAGTAGAAATCTATCTGCATAATAGTTGCAGCAATACCGAACTCCATAATCTCCCCAAGGACCACTGAGCTCTCCTCATAGTGTCGGAGGTTAGTGCTACTTTCATTATAAGAGAGAAGGGTCACTATTCCTACTGTTCAAAATTTTGTTGCATATAGTACCCACGAGTATGAGCGAACGGGTGGTCCTTATACATGGCGCCCTTTGCATAGATGCAGCCAAGTACTTGGGAGATGTCTGATATCCCAGAGGGTTTTATTGGTGGTGACATAGAAAGTCAGGTCAGGTACTATTCATCGTTCAGGACAGATCACATAACATCACTGTATAAAGCCCATTTTGGTTGACTTTTACAACAAACTAGGGTTTTTTCTATTCTGACCTGCGGTCAGAATACAATTTATTGAATGATTTTCACTATAAAGGGTTTTACAAAAACCGCTACACGTGTTTCGCTATTCAATAGCTTTCTCAAGCATAAACTATAAGTTACTTCTAAATTACAACCATTTGATACTGTAACCTATTACCTACTCGTATGTCTAATTTCTAATGAATAAATCTACCTGAAAAGGTAGGTAACTATATCAATGAATTTTTCGAAAATACCCTAAATATATCCAACTATTTTTATCTGGAAATGAACAGATTCACTAATGACGAATTATTTAATTCCGTTTGATCGGTCATAAGATGAGAGTTTTTGAATATGTTTATTTCCATACTCTCCAACAGGTTAAGTTTCAAACCTTTCTTCTGAAAATGGAGGGGCTTGTATTCATGGTTGAACTCATGTCCCTCTGTGATTAAATGAGTGGCATATGTGGAATTTATTTTTCCATTCTGAAAACTATATTTGTGTTTCTTTATGTGGGGTTCCAACGTTCTTCCAGTTTGACCTATGTAACACATCGGACATGATCCACATGATAATTTATACACTCCCGATTTTTCGGAACAAGCCACCGAAGAAAAAGACCAAAGACAATGAACTATGTTCGCAATATAAGTTCTTTCACAAATTTGACAATCTCACGAACACCAGTTTCACAGAACATGAAACTTTAGAAGTTTTAGGAATTGATACAGATATCGCGTTTATGGGGACATGTTACGCCAATAAACATATTGCTGCAGAAATTTTAAAATCTGAAAAAAAGGATAAAGGTAGGTTCAATCCGGAATTGAAACTAGTTAATTCCATAAAAGAGAAATCGACCGAAAATAATGTTATAATCACCTTAAATACTACAAACACTTCAACTATTATTCGAATGTCTATCACCTTACTAGATCAATTCGCGTACCGCACTGTAACGTCCACTTGACAGTGTACTTGACTGCCTCGATATGCCCGCCGCTAGCATTTAAATATCGTAATCGAACATCGTAAGAATTTTCGCCGAAGTTCTTTGCTGCTTCTTGTGCGACAAGGAACATTGGACATTCCAGCGCTCTTAGCTACGTCACATTCGGTTTATGGTTACCAGTGGCGGCCGGCGTTACTTTCTTTCGGGCATGATCTACAACAATAAAATTGTTTTTACATGAGCTGATGAAGGCTCATAGCCATGAACAAAGAAGAATGCGTAGAGAAGACATTAGACTTTCTAAATTCTGACATGTACGATAGTCTCAGAAACGACCCCAGCCATTTATATCAGAAAGGAGTCAAGGAAACTTTGAAAAATATAAATTGTGTCATGGATGAAACGGAAAAATGGAAAAATTCCGATCGTTAGTCGTGAACCCACTACCACCTAAATTTTTATTTCGTTGATTAAATTACACAAAGATAACTACCCGATTAGACCGGTAGTTTCATTCGTCACAGCTCCTTCAGTTAAAATATCCATAAATCTCATTGCAATTATTCAAAACCACACCAATTTCAAATAAATTCAGTTTGAGGAATTCATACCATTTGATCAAGGAAATTCAAGATATTACACTCCCGGATAATGCCAAATTGATTTCATCCCCAGTATTCCTCCAAATGAAACAATTACTCTTGTAGATAATCTATTGGACGAAGTCTGTCAATCCTGTAGTGAAAAAGGAAATATTGAACTTGCTTACAGTGTGTTGGTTACATAATTACTTCCAATTCAATGAAACTTTTTCCTGCAAAGGTCTCATAATGAGAAACCCACTTAGTCCTATTCTGGCAGAGATTTACATGGACGATTTGGAGAGAAAATACACAGTAACCCACTGGTATGAAGTTTCGTGTATTGGTATAGATATGTGGATGATATCTTGGTATGTTTCACAGGAACGAACAGGCAGTTGACTATCTATTTGAATTTCATCAATTCTCTCCACCCTTCTATCACATTCACAATGGAGATGGAAAAAAGAACGACTTTATAAACATTTTTTGGACTTGACAATGCTAAAAGTTAACAACAAACATGATTTTTCAATTTATCGTAAACCGGCACATACATTATTATCATTCATAATTCGTCCACCCACCCGTATCAGCACAAAGTAGCAGCTTTCAACAGTATGATCCACAGACTGATAAATGTGCCCTTGTCAGAGGCGAATTTCAATAAAGAACTGAACATAATAAAACAAATAGCCGTCAACAATGATTACGATAGCAGTCTAATACATTCTTTATTATCAAAAAAGTTATACAGTCAAGCTTTGAAAGGAGTTTACCCAATTCGAAGAGAAGAGGACAAAATTTATAGAACCTTAACCTACTTAGGCCAACCCACTACAAATATTTCAGATTTTCTGCACAGCAAAGGTGTAAATATTGCTTTCAAAAGCAGCAACAACTTAGGCATGCACATTAAGAATAACAAAGATAAAAGTTCAGTTTCAGAAAAATCGGGAGTGTATAAATTATCATGTGGGCCATGTTCGATGTATTATATATGTCAAACTGGAAGAACGTTAGAAACCTGCATAAAGGAACACAAATACTTTCGAAAAATGTATTGATAATAGTTAATGAATTTATACCTGACCTTTTCAGGTAGAATTCATTAGAAATTAGGCATACGAGTTGGTAATAGTTTCGAGTATCAAATAGTTGTAATTTAGAAATAACTTTTAGTTTATGCTTGAGAAAGCTATTAGTGAAACACGGGTTTTTTAAAACCCTTCATAGTGAAAACAATAACTTCTATTATTTATTTTTTGGGAAAGAAAGTTTTTGGCTTTCCACTACTCCATCTGATACAAAAAAATGGATGAGAGAATCTTCCAAAGAAAGGAAGGATTATTCAATTTGAAAATAAGTAACTCTATATACAAACTGAATAGAGAAAAGTATCTTCTGTATAATTCAGTGTTCATATAGAAGTATTTGTTTCGAAAGAATTTTTTCTTTCGTGTAATTCAATGTTTATATGAAAGTAGCTGTTTCAGGACGACTTTCTTTCAGTTTGTGTCTGAAAGTTACTTCTTTGCATGATCTACACATCCATGTATAGAGTTACTTATTCCGATTTTCGACTAAGAAAAAATATCGTAGTATGCCCTGAAACTTTAATAAACATTTCAAATTTTGTCCCAAGGTAGACCTTTTAGTACTTGACACTTCAAAAAAAATTATTAAAAATCGATTTACAACTTCAAATTTTAGGGGGGTATTTCCATTAAAAATGGGTCACACTGTATATAATAGTATCATTTACCATATTTAGTGAGGGGAATACATTGTACTTTCCAAGTGTGCTTACATTTACTGCAAAAGCTATTTGTCAACGCTATATCATCTTTAGATTATCTTAAAAATAACCAACATACACTGTAGAAGGTGCAATCATTACTTACCTGTATATCATCTAGCCAAAAATTGGTTGTTTTGCAGCATTCGTTTCTGTGACTACGGCAAACTGCGAAGCAATTTAAAAAAATATCCCTATTGTCATGAAATTTTGAAAGTTAAATGCTGATCAGTGGAGGTAACACAGCTTTGATTGATTGATCGATCACATGTAGATAAGTTTCCTCTGGGAAAAATGACATTAGCAATCACTCTCAATATGTATTTTCAGGTAACATTTGCCTACCCTCTTTCCAACGAGTTTGTTGAATTATTGATACAATATGTTCTGATAGAATCCAGGGCTGTGTATAGAAGACAGGACTATTCAGTTGTTCAAGAAACTGAAGCACAAGATAGAATATTACGACAAAATAACGGAATTGCATTCAAGTTTTCACGCAAATTAACTAAAACGAAGACCTAATATTTCAATTTAAATCTCAGTTGTGAAAGAATCAATTCGCGTACCGCACTGTAACGTCCACTTGAAAAAGAGACTACGGTTTGAACAATAGGTTAATGGAAAACATGACTGTGTAAGTTAATCTACAAATATCTTCAATTAAGAGAACAATATGTCTAATGTTTTTCTAATATATTTTTTGTTTATAGTAAATTATTGAAGAAAATTGGACAATTTGAAAAAATTGAGGCTCTGAAAGGAAAGAATCTCCCTTGTCCTTTGGATACTTATTTAACTGATTCTGCTTATTCTGATATTTACAAAACAACCATTACAAGTGATTATGGTACTGACGATGGGTTTCATATGAATGATGATGTACAGGTTTGTTGTTTATTTTATTTCCTATTTACTTATAGTATCTCACTTTAATACAACTTATATTTTAAAAGAAAATTTTAATTTGTATATAATTTATTTGCTCTGTATCAATATGTTTGACATTCTATTTTATATAGATAAGATTTTAGGTACTACTTTTATGCTATCTAACATAGTTAAAAAACTTATGTCAACAGGAACTTTTTCTTAAGACAATAAACGCATTGCTCTCTCTCTCTCTTATTTGTAATTTAATATCCTTATTCTATTAAAATGTTAACTTGTGTAAGGTAGAATCTCATACGACTTACAAATGTTCAAATAAGAGATATTCCATATGAAAAAAAATCAAATCCATTCTTGACAAAGTTTCCCAGAGCTTTTTCCATTATTATTCAAATGAAATTAAAATAAATTATCAATATACATATCCAAAACAAGCACTTTTTCCAATTCAATGCAATACTTTTCTTCATCTCCCGAAGACGTCAACTTGGGTGGCGTCGGCGTCCTCAGTTTAGTTTGGTTCTTCAGGAGATGAATACGCAATATTCTGGTGATTGAAAAATGTGCCTTTTTTGGATTTATTCTACGCCAATTTTACCTTTTAATATACCTGTCGTTGTTCTTCTATTATTTTATTCTGATAGTTTTGTATTTCAGATTGTTGATGATGATGATGATGATATTGTTGATGTCTCTACCAGTGAAAGAATTGAAGTAATAAAAGAAGAAAATTCGACATTAACTGAAACCTCTTCACGTCCGTTAACTAAGCCTGTGCTCACAATTTGTCTAGATGACAGCGACTTTGACAGTGACGAAGAAACATGCTGTTTAGAAGAAGAAGTCGAAACCAGTAAGAAATCTTTGGAATACCAAAGTAGTCGGAGGCAACAAGATAAAGAATCATTCAATAAAAGAAACCATAAGCCAATTGAGAAAGTTAAGAATGAGGAAGATATAAAAGTAGATTTATCTTTAGAATATATTTCAGGTGATGAACAAGTAAATAGTGATGCGAGTCACACAAAATCGAACTTGATCTCAAACAAGCCTCTAGTTGTAGGTTGCGGTGGAAAAGAAGATAAACTTCGATCTGGTATATATAAAAATGTGACTGAAGTGTCAGTTGTAGATACTGAAATTGTTGAAATTTCTGATGACGAATATGAAGTAAGTCTTGAATCCATAAACAATGAGAGAGATAAAGTAAGCAACACCAAATCTGAGACATGCGCTATAAATTCAATCATTTCCATGGATCAAATTCCAACTGAAAAGGCTCAGAATGACAGTTTTCGTGAAGTTTATAAACTTAATACTTCCTCAGCTCCCAATATCATGGATGAGGAAACTATAAACAATGAGAGAGATGAAGTGAACCATACCACATCCAATACATGTGTCATTGATTCAATTTCCATGGTGAAAATACCAACTGGAAAGATTCAAAATGACAGCTCTTCTGAGGTTCATAAAATTAATAGTCTGTCGTTAATATCCTCAACTTCCAATATCTTGGATGTACATACTAGAAAAGACCAGAATGTTGCAGAAGATGATTTTGAATTTAATTCATCTGTGGTCAACTGTAATAAGCAACAAAATTTATCAACACCCATGAATAAGGAAATGAACAAAGATCTAATAACAATTCATGAATCAAATAATAAAAGCTGCCTAAAAGAAAAGTCTAAAGGAAAATCATCTTTAGGAAAAACCTCAACCATTTCGAAGGAACTTGAAATAAATGACTCGTGTTCATCTGTTCAAATAAACGAAAATATGATGAAAAGCATGGAGGATGGCATTGATAACTATGATAGTGAAAGATCTAAAGAAGTACTATCAGAATTTGGGTCTTCAGGACTGACTCCAAATATTTCTGAGGAAACTGTGTTTGAAGAAACAGATTCTAGAAAGTTGATATTGGAAGACGAACCTGGCTTACCGATTCCAATGAAAGAATCTGTAATTGAAATGATGGAAAAGCGGGAAAATAGTAACTCTGATGATGAAATGTCTCTAGAAGGATCATTGCAGTATAAATCGTTGGGACCGTTTCAAAATATTTCCAAGGTGACTCTAGCTGAAAGGAATTGTAGAAAGATATCAGATGAGACCCCAACTTCACCTATTCAAGAGAACGAAGATATATTGGAAGTGATTAAAGAGCAGGATAATGATATTTTCGAAAAAAAGGCGTGTGAAAAACGCTCATTGGAGCATGGACCTGTAGAAATAATTTCAACTATCAATGAGACTGAATCCGAAAGGAATTCTAGAAAGTTGCCAGTGGTTGAAAAACCATGTTCATCTATTCAAGTAAACGCAGATGTAATTGAAGAGAGCAATGACTGCTCTCAAAATGAACAGTCTATAGGATCACCAGAGCTTGAATCTTTAGAAATAACTCCAAATATTTCCAAAGAGACTGCATTTGAAATGAATTCTGGAATATCAGCATATGAAAAATCATCTTCATCTATTCAAGTAAACGCAGATGTGATTAAAGTGATGGATGGGCAGAGCAATGATTGCTCTCGAAATGAACAGTCTAAAAGATCATCAGAGCTTGAATCTTCAGAAATAACTAGAAATATTTTGAAAGATACTGCATTTGAAATGAATTCTGGAATATCCGTAGATGAAAAACCATTTTCATCTATTCAAGTAAATGCAGATGTAATCGAAGTGACCGATGAACAAAGCAATGGCAGCTGTCAAAATGAAGAGTCTGAGGAAGAACTCAAATCTTCAGAAACAACTCCAAGTATTTCTAAGAAGACTGCATTTGAAATGAATTGTATGAAGTTGCCTCCAGCAGATGAAGAATCATGTTCATCTATTCAAGTAAATACAGATGTAATTGAAGTGCCACAAGTAGATAAAATAACATGTCCATCATTTCAAGTAAACGTAGACGTAATCGAAGTTACAGATGAACAGGGCGATGACTGCTGTCAAAATGATGTAACAGAATTGATGGATGCTCAGGGCAATATCTGTCAAAGTGAACAGTCTGAAGAAGAATTATTAGAGAATGTATCTGTAGGATTAACATCAATGATTTCAAAAGAAACTTTGCTTGAAACAACAAACGAGTTTGCACTAGGAGATAAAAAAGCATGTTCATCTAATGTAATAAACGAAAATGTAATGGAAGTGATGAATACGGACATTGCTTGCTATCAAAAGGAAATGTTTAAAGAAGAATCATCAGAGTTTCAATCTTTATCAATAACTGAAAATATTTTGAAGGAGAGTCTGTTTGGAAAGAGTTCTGGGAAGATGCTTCCAGAAGATGAGTCTTCTAGCACTATTATTCAAATACAAGAAGTTGAAATGGTGGATAGTCCACCCACTCAAGTGAAAGAAGGTATAATACGAATGACAAATGAAGTTTATAAAGAAATATCTTCACACTGTGAGTCGTCACTTGCTTGTAATACTGTTTCTAAGGAGGTTCTAGTTGAAATTAATCCCAGAAAGCTCACCAATACATGTGAAAAAGAAATCCTAAGTGAGGAATTTTCAGAATTAGAATCAACTTCCAGAAAGTTATCTACAGAAGATGACAAACTAGAAGAATGCTCACCATATAAAATTAGTGAAGAGGTTTCTAGTAATTATTCTGAATCTCCGTTTGATTCCAAAAACTTGGTAATGATTGAAAATGAAAGCTTCGGATCTTCAACGATAGCACATCCCAAAGATATCCCATGTATTTTAGATCTGTGTTATGGAACAGAAAAAAATAAAAAAGAAAATGAGAGCGATCAAAAGTTTGAGGTAAATGTGACAGGAACATCTGCTCTTCCTGAAAAAAATCAAGATGTTGAGTGTGTGGAGCAACCTGAAACTGAGAAATATTTAGAAAATGATAAACAGACATCAATTAACGATCCATTGTCTGATTATAAGAATTTCGAAACAAATAGGGTAACTGATGAAAAATGCAACACAAAAGAGATCGATTTGGCTGATAAAAATTATTTTCAACATTCAGAAGAAATGAATCATGTATGTAGTGAAGTGACACCATCAAACGAAAACATTACACAATTAGTTTCTGATACTGAGACGCAATCCAGCAGTGACTTTGTGGGTGTACAGATTCTTACAAAAGACGATATGAATGGTGAAAGTGAAACTTCCTACAAAAAATTAGTGGAAAAAACGAACCTGAAGGAGAGCTTCCTATGTCCAGAATATAATCCCGGTACAAGTAAATCCTTTGCGGAGAATTATCTCAAAGGTTTATCTAAAGAACATTTATATCATAACAGCATTGATCATCCAACAGGAGAAAGTCAACCTGTGATTGCGGAAGATCAACAATATTCTGTGAGTAATGCATTAGAGCCCTATCAGGACCATGAGTTACCAAATATAAGTTCGCCAATCGTAAATGTTTCACAAGAAGTTATTGAATGTAAAACTGAAACTTATTCAAGTGAGAGTATCAGTGTACTTCACGATTCAAATGCTGCTACAAAAGTTCTTGAAACTGTTATTCTTTCAAAGCAAAGTGATGAGGGACAATCTGAAGGTTTGAAGTGCATTGAAACGTCTGGACAAAATCCTGTAACAGATATTCAAAGTAAGGAGAATGTGGAAAATGCTCATTGTATTACCAAAAACAAGGAATGCTTGGTTTCAGGAGTATATCATCATATAAAATCAAATACAAATGAAAATTCCAATCAAAATACAGATCAGAAACTGGTGGATTCATTAGTTTACTCTAATGAGGTCATTGAAAAACAAAAATATGGAAATTTTTGTCTTGAAAATGAAAATAATGAACTCTCTCAACCTGAAAAATTTGACCGGGCTACAGAAGAAGTTGAAGAAACTATTATTGATGATCAACTTGTTGTTTTTCATGAAGACTCAGAAATTGCATGTGAAGTAGAAGTAGGAACTGATGACACTGTTGAACCAACTAAAAAAATGAGAAGTTCAGAAAAGGTTGAGCATGAAAGAGACAATAAGTTTGAAAAACTTGTAAATTTGAAATTGGAAGAATCAAATGAAAGAATGTTTCAAGAGGAAGGTGGGTCAAAATTCGACAATAAACAAGAAGATTCAACAGACTTGAATGATGAGGGCACCTCCAGTAAGCAGTTACAAAATGTAAAGTCAAAGGAAGTTATTTCCTTAGAACATTTTAGAAACGATGAGGGCAAAGGTAATGATAATATAGACCACCCAAAGCTCTTTAAGCTAGGGTATGAAGTTGAAGAAAACTCACATACTTCCTTTTATTATGCCATGGAAGTTGAAATAAGGTCAGAAGATAATCAATCCGGGCAGGACATACGTGGGAAAAATGTAATTTTTGATATTTGTCATCCTGATCCGATCAGCAAATCAAAAGAATCGCTTATTCAAAACAATGTACAAAAAAATATTGGGTGCACAATGGATAATATAGCAGAAAAAAATGAAAGGTCAGATCAAAAAGTGAAGGAAACTCATCATCCTACGCCTACGGATGTTATTCAGATACAGAATGAACCCTTGCTTGAATTTCATAATGAATCTGAGTATGTCAATGAAGTTGAGGTAGGCGATGTAGTATCTGAATGTTTTCAAGAACAAAAGACTGAAAAACCTTTCTCAGACAACCTTGAACTGATCAGAAAAAACACATCTAGTAAAAATGTCTCAACTACACGAAGTTCTGAAACACCTCAATTGTCTTTTAGTCAACAGAAATCTGGAGTAGCTATAAATATTGAAAAAACTGATTTTTCAGATAACCTGACAATTTGCTCTAAAGCAATTGATGAAAACATTGAATTGACCATGTTTAATAAACTAAAAATGAATGGAATTGATGTTTTTGTTCAAAACGAAGTTGAGCAGACACCTTCAAAACCGTTTCATTCTTTGGATGTACTAGCTGATGTTGCTACAAATGCCCTCAGAGAAAAAGTTAAAGAGGAACGAAAACAACCTTTGAGAAGAGGGAGATCCATGACAACTGAAAATGAATTTCGTAAATCTTCAGAAAAAACTATTCAGAATGAAAAAAAACCGATGAAAAATTACTCAAAAGTCAGCAAATCTAAAGACAGAGTTGGACATATGCCAAAAGCAGCACGTGCTCACCTAACACCAAAGAAAACTGTAAAAACTATTGTTAATGAGAATATACGCATTACAAGGAGTAGCCACTTGAAAAATATTAGTGAAAAAGTTGAATCCGGTTTCAAACCTCACGACTTTTTATCAATAGAAAATTCAATACCTCCTGTGAAAAAAACATATGCAGATAGAATTGTGGATGTAAATTTCACGAGTGAAGATAGTAATGACAGTGAAAGCAATAAATTGTTGATTGATGAAGGGACAAACGCAAAATCAAAACCCTTGAATAAATTGAGTAACATAGAAGAAGATGGAAACTTTGGCAAATCATCAGTGGTAAACAAAAAAAAATCCAATGTCAAATCAGAGTCTGTGTTGGATAAGTTGAGTAAGTGCAAAGCAGGTGAACATAATGATAACACATCAAAAACCTTATCAGATACAGTTGAAGGAGATGAAGTTGATACTAAAATCTCTAAAGGGATTGGAGAGAAGAAAGTTAACATTTATGATGATGATACTCTTGACGAAGATTTTCATTTTCTCTATGAACCAAATGTGAAAGTCACTACAAATGAAAATAAAAACAATTTTGTTGAAGTTGAAACAGTTCCTTCTATCTTCAGATCATTTTCAACGACACTAGAAAATACCACAAAAATAGAATCTGAAAATAATAAACCAATAAGAACTAAGGCAGAAAGAAAGGCATATCATCCAAGTCTAAACCCATACATCAGTATCAAAAGAATTGATGTTAACACAAGTGAAGAAAACATTCCACTTGAGGATCAAAATAGGTCAAACATTTCAGATACGGGAATAATGAAAAATATACAAGACGAAGAATTCAAAACAGATTTAGAGATAATACAAAAAATGAGAAAGGAATCTGAGGAAAAAATTTGTGAAAACAACAAATTATCAATGATTACTGATGTCAAAGAAGTAAACATCAGGTTAAATGAAGATATTGTACTTCTAACAAAGTCATTTGAAACTCCAAAATTCAATAATGAAAACGAGAACAGTGCAGCTTCAAATGAACATGGCGATTTAGATGAAACCCCTTTGGCTGACAGAATTAAGAAAGAAACACAAGAGGCTTCATGCAAAACAAATTTGTCCAAAGAAAATATTATATGTAATGAAATTATTAATAAAAAACCCAGGAAAACTTCTAAAAAAAGGAAGATTCATAAAATTACAACAAAACCTAACATACACGATGAACATAAAGATCATGTGAAACAAACAGAAGATGAAAGTAACAACTTAATGAATTCCGGTATATTCCAGGATCGATTACTTGACAAATCAGAGGCAGAAGACCAAAATTCAGTTATTTTGCCACCAAAACTGAGAAGAAAATCAATATCTAGAGATAATTTGAATAGATCATTCAATTCAGTGGAAAATAGTTTCTCTACTAGTAACAAAGAGGTTGAGGATAAAACATGTATGCCACCCCCGAAATTAAGAGGGAAATCATCCTCGATTTGTGAACGATTCAAAGAACAAGACACTGAATTAAGATGGAAATGTAAAAACACAGTTTCTCAAACAACAGAGAAATTGAAGAAAAAGTTATATGAAGGAGATTCGGTTGATGTAGAACCGCAATTTGTATTAGGTGCAAAACAAAAGGAAATTTCGGTCTCAAATGAAAGTCTGGATGATTCACCATTGCCACAAAAAATATTCGAAAGTACTTTTGGAGAAACAATTTATGAACCCATAGCCACTCATTGCGATAAATCACAAAAATCTGACCTTTTTAATTCACAATCATTTAAAGATGGAATGGCATCTGATGAAGGAAATAAACAGATATCTGTTCAAAGCAGCAAAGAGGATAACCCAAATGAAAATATACAGAACCTATCATTGACTCTCCAAGGAAAAATTGAAGTCGACGAAATTGTTACTAGTATTGAACAACAAAATGAAAACACTGTTGATGAGGTTAATGCTGACCAAAAAAAAGATCAGGGTGAACTGGTTATATTTGGTGACATTGGTCCAGAAGAAATAACTACAGAAACATCTCAAGAAATTTCACAGCCTCATGATGATCATGAGAAATGTAAATCAAATCTTATGACTACTGATATTTCGTTGGGTGAAAAGAAAGTTGGGATTTGTACTGATAGTATAAAGTCAGTGGGAGAGAATTCGGATGTTTCAACCAAATATAATATTGATCAGACCGATATTGATAATTCACATCAGCTGTCAATTTGCACTTCTGAAAACCTTTCAGATATCTCAGATTTAAGCGATCAATTTGAAAAAGTAATTGAATCAGAGTCCGTTGAGAAAATAAGCAGCCAGAATAAGACAGAAGTTAGTTCAGCTACAAAAGAAACAGGTTTCACAACTTCCATGAATGATCAAAGTAAAATAGTTGAAACTGACATTGAAACGAACCTACGCTCAACCAGTATACTTTTAGATGATAGAGACAATCTCGCATCAGTAAACAAAATCTCTACTTTATCAAGTGAAGAAGGCCGATCACTAAAAAAAAATAAAAATCGGCTAGAAAAACAAAAGTTAGGTGAGATCAAATCAAATAGTTCAATGCAAGACCAGAATCAAAAGATCAATAAACCTGTGAAGTCCGATAAACATGGCACTGTTGCAAAGCATGCTCCTTTGAAACATTCTCTTGACTTTGATAGGGTTGATGAAGTGACTTCAAGTGAACAAATTGAATCTAACTGTTCAGATGAGGTAAATCAGACGACTGAAATGAACAGTAGTAAAACTAACTGCAAAACAAAAAAAGTTTTACTTATACCTCTAGAGTCTTTGAAAATTAAAAAACATAAAATCAAGATTATAGAATGTGAAAAAGTACAGAGCAAAGTGACCAGAGATGAACTAAATCAAACAGGAATGTGTTCAACTTCTGAAGAGAATATTTCTCTCATTGAAGAAGTATGCCCTGTTGTACAAGATCGACCCCAAGTGAAAACCACAAAAGATTCGGAGAATGTCAACAAAAAAGATGAGATTTCAACTGGAAAACAGCAAACTAAATCTATCTCAACCTCTCCAAAAGTTACTCGAGAAACAGATGCCTTAAATGTTTCAGGAAACAGTAAAAAAATAATTGATGAAGGAATTGAAATTGAAAGTGTCAGAAAAAAATCTCGATCAAGATCAAAATTACAGCAAAATATTGATGCCAATTGTAGTAAGAAAAGTGCACAATGTAGTTCCAATAAAAAAATATCAATTTCTACTGGTCTTAACGTTTGTGACCAATTTTCTTCAGAAACAAATAAATATCGAGATGAAAAACAAATTGAAGTTTGTGAAAGTAAATCACCAAAAGGAAGATTGAAACGATCTAATTCAAAGTTATATGACAACAGCTTTGTCAAGGAAACTGAAACTCCCACTAAAAAGTTGAAAAAAAGTCATGACAAAATTCTTTCTAAATCATATCCACATGCGAATGTAGAAAAAGAAATAAGTGAAGATAATTTGAAAGATAGTAAAGTATATCCAAATATAGAAATAAGATCTCTATCCAGTACTCAAGCAGATATTTCGAAATTTGATAATGAAGAGGTTACAAAAGATCAAAAGAATAAAATACACACTGAAACAGTTTGTGAAAAATCTGAGAAAGTAACCGAATCTGAGCCAAATTCAGACCCCAAAGGAACAACTCAACTTCAACAAACTATAAGTACAGAGGTGACTAAAGGGCAGTTAGAGTTGCATCCAAAGATTGATATTTCAAATGACTCAGTAATATTGATTAGCCCTCAAAAATTATATTTAGATGATAATAAGGATAAGAATATATCATGCTCTCATGATGAGATAACTGATGGTCTAGAGCAGAGTGAAGTGTTAAATGTTTTCAAAAATATTGAAGAAACTTGTTCTGAGAAAAATGAGACAGTATTTGAAAATGATGCTTCCACAAATAATCCAGAATTTTGTTCAAACGTTGTAGGGGACACCACTAAACCTGTCGATATCAACACAATTGAACTGAATTCTTGTTTGGAAACTGAAATAACTACTACAGTATCAGATGATGTGAATAAAACTTCAGAAGAATCCCATCACAACTCGCCATTTGAAGCTGTGAATACTTGTGAAAAAACACAACATGATTTTGACCTTGAAGATAAGGATTCTTGTAGTCATCAGTCTTTTCATAAAATTGTACCAGACCCACATGCAGAAGAAATTGAAAAGTCTGCCATTTGTATATTAGAACAACCACAGGATATTACTTCACATGAAATAAAAATTTTCAGTCATGACCAGGGTGACATGAATTTCTATGCTGCAGTTGTAGAAAATCAGTCTATAGTTGAAAATGAAAGCACAAGTATTGATGAGAACACTAAAACGTCAAATTCAATCCAATTTTCATTAGAAAATGGAAATGAAATATTTAATGTTACTGTTGATAAAATCACTTCAACTCCTGGAGATTTTGAATTCAGTAACGCCAATATAGCTGCAAATGAGAAAACTGAAACAACTAGCAACACCCATTTGACCCCAGCAAACGAAAATGAAATCTCCATTCCAGCTATCGAGAACATCACTTTACTAACATCTAATGATTTTCAATTCGACAATACCAATATATTAGTGTGCGAGAACGCTTCATCTTTTGATAAGCTTGAATTGCTGCAAAGCACTGATGAGAAAAAGCAGCCAGTTTTTTCTCAAAAACTTGATGTAATAACACATTTTTTGAATCAGGAAAGACGAGCAGGGTTCGTTGTTATATCTGAAGGTGACGCAAGTATTTCTGAGGGTCATTCCAGTAGAGATGAAGTATGTATTTCAAAAGAATCTGGTGAGAAAGATTCAGAAGTTCAAAAAAGAGTTTCTCAATCTATCGAAGTAACGGACGGAAAGTCAGAAATAACTTCTTTCACTAACAGTTCAATATCAGAAGTACAAAAAACAGTGAAAATAGTTGAACCTGAAGAAACATTGAGAAATTCTCATCTCACCAAGAGTCGTAAAAGAAAACTACAGGATCTACCAATACCAGATAAAACAACTCACGAAATCAGTTCTAGAAAGACAACCATGAGAGAATTGTCAATACTTATAGATAACTCGATTGCAATTACTAAATCCTCACCTTTATCTGGTTCTCCAAGGAAACGAGAGAGAAAATCTATTGAGTCTGTAGTAAGTCACTTGAAAGAGAAGGAAATCAGTTCTGTTGCTTTAATGGAACCTACACAAAGTGCTGATAATAGCTGTGTTCCAAAAAAAGAAGATAATGATAATAATATACATTTCAATGCATCTTTATTGTTAAAAAGTGATGAAATTCCAGAAATTGATTCTGAAGTTGTGGTTTCCTCTGATCAATCTGCTCTCATTTCCTTTTCGACGACAAATGTATCTGGTAGTAATGAATTGTTGAGCAGTAGCTCTACAGGTTCTTATGAGAATAAATATTCTGGTCAAGATGAACCTCTGGAACAATCCTCAAGTATTGAAAAAGTTCTTGATTGCACTCAGGAAGTGAACCAGTACCAACTTCTTCCTTCCGAAGAAATTTTGGGAATAATGGACTCCAGACAATCCCCAAAAGTAGAAGAGACGAGTGAGCCATCATCTCTAGCTATAAACAACTGCTCGAATTTGACAATAAAAACTCAAAATTCCAATTCCATAGAAGTTTCGAGCACCTCACCTGCAAATGATGAAGATGTTGCAGAGATCTTCAAAAACTTGAAAAATTTAAAACATTTCGGAAAAGCTACTTGCTCCAGATTGGAAAATAGCGCTAGTTCATTTATTCGCACTTCCATTATGTCTTCACATGCTAACATTATTGATGACAAAACCGATTTCACCCAGATGGCTGCAGAAGAACCTTCTGCTGAGCGTAACTCTGCATTTGGTATGGAGCAACAGGTAACAGTTCCTCGGGATTCTTGTTCTAAAAACGACAGTCTGTCAAAACTTGAACATTACATGGAATCACATAGAGTTTCACCTACTATTTCATCTTCAACTATCAATAATTCCAACAAGCAGATTGCAAGCACGTCTGATGTGTCTCTGAATTACCACGATATTTCTCCAACTAAGATTACCATTGGTAGTTCACAAACCTTAGATTTAATTACGACACAAAACTATCAGCTCAACCAAAACAGTTTGGGACAAATTTCGAGATCAAATAGTTTCATTACAGGCGTTTATGGATCATCAAGTGAGATTACTGATATGATTCCAGTATCCAAGCAATCAGAATTTACGCAGACCTTCACACCAATTACTAAAATAACAGAAATCAAAGTAAGCTATGAGGAGAACAACAGCGACCATAGTTATTATAATACTGGTAAGTCTTGTATACATTATGATATTATTTTCTTGTATATGAAGTGAACTTGACATTGTTATATGCACAAATTAATTTGTGATACACTGTTTGGAACCTTTGGTGTAGTAATGAATATTTCTGGATTTTTTCCCAACACCAAGCCGTTATTTCAACACCTCGACACGTGTTTCGATCACCAAGTGAACATCTACAAGAGGAAGATCAAACTCTTTGATCTTTCTCTTGAAGACGATCACTTGGTAATCTAAACACATGCCGAGGTGTTGAAATAAAGGTTTGGTGTTGGGAAAAAACTCCAGTAATATACACAAACTAATGTTTAGTGTCCACTAATATTTAATCATACTGACACGTTTTAATTTATTTTTCTGTACTGAGGACCTACCCAGTATCTTAACTAGGAGCTGTCTTCATTCTTAAGATGGCTCTGAAATTGCCGTCATTTGTGACTGGCTCCTCATCAGTCACAGAAACAGTGCCAGAATCGTTTGTTCCTCTCAAAACCAGTTCTTGATGCCCACAAAACTTTATAGTTTCCACAATTGAAAATAATTTTTCTCCATTTTCTTCTACTTGCTTTCTTCTCCCTGAGTCAATAACGTTCCTGATATCCAAGTATTGCAAAGTTTTCAAAAAGTTGGAGCCTTTAACCATAGCTTCGTGATGGTATTGTTTCGATTGATGGGATTCGAAGTCTTCGATTGCGTGTTTCCATTTCTTATACGAAACTGTCACAAGAGATTTTGAAGCCTGATTGCCTCCTTTTCCTACCGTGTGATGTGAGAAAATTATACAATATTTGCATAAAGCGCCGTTAATTTTCGTATAAACGAGCCACGGGTACCTATCAAGCCACTGTCTTTGAAATCGAAGGTTTTTTCTTCCCACTTACGCTTACTGAAAATATGAAATATTTTCCTGGCGTCCACGGAGTACTCAGAAATTTGAATTTTGATATAGTTTCCCATATCAAAGTGATGAATTAGTAAGTTGCTTTCTTCAGGTCTCACTTCGCGGAAAAAGAAGACGTGCTTGCCTCAGAGACAATAGGTCTAGCAGATGTAGATGAGTCACTGCAGTGTTCGTCTTTTGAGCATTTGTAAAATAGGTAGAAGTGACGATTGCAAACGAACGAGGATGAAATGTGGTGATACAAAATTGCTCAAACACAGCGAAAACATTCCTCTGAACGCGACATGTAGAGCGCTAAGTAGAGTGCAAGAGGCAATTGTATTCCAACATTTATGTTGTTGAACATCTTGTCGACCCTACCAGTAACCACGTGCACCCCGGAAAGGTAATTTTCCACACTTAGGCGCCTCAAAACCTACCTACGGAATTCTTGTGGGCAAGAAGGCTAACCGGGTTGGCCCTAATGGCAATTCACAGAGATGTCATCATCCCAACTGATGATGTTATAACAGAATTTGACTATAAAAATTTTATTTTCAATAATTATGAATTCACTGAGGTTTTTAGTTTTAAAAACGAATATGTTAATACAGTTTTTTAGTGGAGAGCTTTTTCCGTCCAAATGTAATGGTAATTGAATTTGAATTAGCAGGTCTTTTTTATTGCGACCCCCCGAAACAAAAATCTGGACACGGCCTTGCCATAAACTGCTACAAATGCCCTTTACTGTTTTATGCAGATGCATACTCAGAAGATTCCGTGCGAAGCGCATTATCATTGCATCCATTTTATTGAGTTTAATGAATATTTCAGTAAATATTTGAAAATATTTTGCCGAAACTCATTAATAACTATATTTTTTTTAAGGACAAAACACAAGCACAACACAAGCACAGCAGACCAGTAATGCCAAACTTTGCGCGACTTAGATTGTTCCCCAACATTAATCGGCAATTCACTCTACACTAAAATGAATTTGAGATCAGAAGATCTCAATGGAGACCTTACGATGACTGTGTTGTGTTAGACAATGCCCCGTATCATTATATAAAATTGGAAAAATTTCAAAATTTCAGCATCAAGGAAACCTAATATTCTGACTGCGTTCTAAAATTATCCAATTTTAATAAACATTACTCAAAGTGGAACTTTTAGCAATAGTTAATGAGCACAGAAAAAAATATGATAAACATATAATTGTTTTTAGTCTACCACCATATAACTGCGAACTTTAAAACTGTTCCAAGACAATGTACTGCACTCAGTGGTATTTACAACTTTTATGAACATATTAAAAAAACATACATACAACTATCGAAATTGCAAGTATAGCAAATTTATATTTGTGAAATATTTTGAGCTGTGATGGTTTCATGGAATCATTGCACAAAACATTTTTACGTAAATGGCATATGAGCAATCGTTTTAACATAATATGACTATTTTAACAGAATAGAATAGGATTTACTTATTATTGCAATGAAAAAAAAACAACATGCTGACGGCAAAACTGGTTTTAATTATTGAAAACCATATACTGCTAAGATCCATATAAAGGTTTTTCACAGACCTGTTGACCTGATGTCATTATAGCGATGATTGACGTCACGATGCGCGGATAGTCACTTTATAGACAGTACTAGTTGTTGTCCGCGGCTTCGTCCGCATAGAATTTGGTTTGTCACATTAAGTTTCGTGATAGAGCATTTTGAACAAATAGTTGCCATATTTTTTTATGAACTCCAAAAACTGACGAAATTCAATGCAATCTTTGAATCCCTTTTTTCCCTTTGGAGGTGGAAATTTGTAACTCCCTTTCTTAATGCTTTCTTGATGCTATACAAAGAACCTGCCTGAATATTTCAAGATACTAGGTTCAGTAGCTTCGGCTGTACATTAATATAAGAGCGGGCAACAGCTATTCATATTTTCACTTTAAAAATACAGTAACTAAAAAAATATTCCATCTGCACTAAGTATTGAATAGACGACGTCTGCCCTCACGCGTCTGCTAGCGTTCGGGTCGCGTTCTCGGCGATGACACTTTTTTGCTTAGACCGCGCATCGTCCCCCGTCGTCTTACAGTATACGCGACGCGCAATGGCTTACTGCGTTGCGTCAAGTTATTCTTATTATGATAACTTTTAAACGATTCGTCAAAATGTGCATTGTAAAAAAAAGTATCCTATTTAATTGTATTTATGGCTCAGTATTTTGCATATACCACATAAGAGGTAGATATATGCTATCCTGGATTTTTATTTAGAACTATTTGAGATAAACAATCTTACAGGACCTGAACACTTGGGATTCACGCACATCATTCACAGTATTCCAGAAATATCAATGTCTTATTCAATACACAGTTTACGCCAATAATACTTTTTTTTCCAATAACATATGTTTATACATATTAGTAGTGTACAACTTTCTATCTCAGTTTTATTTTTTCAGCTGACCCTGTTATGAGCGTTGCTGGAGAAGATATTTTCCCGAAAGTTATCAATGATGCTTCTTCAGAATTTTCAACAAATGACAATCCAATGTCAGATTTTGAATTACCCTATGATTTTTCAGAACTATTAAATACAAAACAGGATTCTGAAGAAAAGGACTGTGAAGGAAAAGACTCAGAGTCAAACCAAAATGATGATTACAAACTGAGAATGGAGAATGATACAATCACTCAAAATTTAGTAGAGATAGCAATGCAACCGAAGGAAATAAACAAACTGATTGATCTCATTGACTGTGATATATCTACAGAAAACAGTGACAGAATAGAATCTGATTATACACCTGAACCTACTCGAGGCAGTCGTTCGTGGGATCATATCGGTGAGACCGATCAAAGTACTCAAAAGGTTATTGTTTTGCCTAATAATCATTGTTTAACTGAAACATATGATATGCCTCATTCTGATCTTTTGGAAAATGATCAGAGTACTCAAAAAGTTATTGTTCTACCCAATAATCACTGTTTGACACCTACATTCAACATGTCTGACAATGATACTTTCAACTCATTCCAAGGGATGACTTCTGAAACACAATTTCCTAGTTCATCATCATTTAAATTTGATGGAATCAATTCTGCTTCGAAACAAATATCATGTGCACCAATGACTAAAAAAGTTTGCTCTGCAACTACTTCAAATATGAAGGATTCTAAGAAAAGTTCTATAGTGGATTCGGAAAAACTCAAAAAGGTAAAGACAACCACTCCGATGAATACAGAGAAAGTCCGGAAAGTAGTACAAACAGATATGCTACCAACCAGAAGTTACAGTAGAACTAGACCAGCCAAATGGATCAAAAGTTCAAATCAACCTTCCAGCAACAACTCCAAAGTGATTCAGTCAACTTCTCTGGATAAACACGAGTCTAAAACAAAATCCCTAAACAATAATTCACAAGAAGTTGTTTCTACAGACAATCTGTTAGAATTATCATTCTCTAAGTCAGCTCGAATTCTTCCAGAAAAGCCAATTGTTATTAAAGGTATTTCAGCAAATGAAGACGTTGGAATGAGCAAAAACGTGAATGCACAGTCTAATTATCTTTGTCGTTTGGAGAACATCAAGGAACAAAATTCACGAACAGTTCCAAAACCTGATATCCTACAAGTTAAGACGACCATCGGTAAAGCAGAGATACTTTTGAAGACAGTGAATAATTTGGAGCAGGAGAAAAAATCATCAATTTCTCAATCATCTGTTGTTGACAAGCACAGAAAGAGTAGTGTTCCATTAAAATATTGTTCTGTTAACACTTCGAATCAGGCTATTGCTTCCAAAATACCGTCCAGTACTCCTAATACCGCTCTAATATCAAAGTCACCTGTCTCAAGTTCAATAATGAAGTATGAACAAAATAAAGTGAAACCGAAAGACGATGCAATCTCTAATACGAACCACAGCAATGCAAACAGAAATTCTCATCCTACTGGTCCCAAAGATTTTCTTGAACAGGACGCTGTCTTACCGAACATTGCTGACATTGTGAAATCTCGAAAAAGAGTGCAAACTAATCTGTACTCATCAAGAGTACCTTCAGAAGAATTTTCAAGAAGTTTATCACATTCTAGGCCTAAAAGAAGAAAAATTGCAATGGAGCCGAGCCTCAATGAGAAAGCTACCACTAACACAAAGGCTAAAAGTTCAGCTGTAGAATCACCAAGGTCTGTATTAGAAGACTTTGAAGAGGACACCGATAAGCGAATCAATAGCAGAAATTCTTCTAGGAAATCGTTAGATATAAATACAGAAATTGATGATCCGTTAAGAAACCGTTTGAAGGCAGATGGAGCTACACACAATCCTCATTTTTTTGGTATTGCTAGTAAGTATTCAATGAATTATTCAATTGAGAGAATATTAAGCAAAGATAATGACTCGAAGCAAAAGCACCATAATGAAAGTACAGTTAAAGATTCTAGGCAACGGGAGGGTCGTGAATTTAGAAGAGGCTCTTCTAGCGTACCGGATAGAAGTGAACCTGAAGTGTGTAAATCAGATGATCAAGTTCCAGAAGATCCTTTCGATAGGCTCCTCAAACAGAAAAGTATAAACCCTCACTTTTCTAACAAAGCGAGCACTAGAGAAAAGGAACGTAATTATGAGTCAGATTTGGTATATAAAATTAAAGAAAAAAGTTTTATTAATGAAAAATCTCATCGAGATAGACCAATAAGGGAGGAAGCGAAAAGAGTGTCTGGTATTTCTCACGACCGAAGATCTCAGGAAAGGGACATTAGAGAGAGTTATAAGCGATATCCCAATTATCAGACACATGGAAGTAGGGATTCCTACATGTCAGAACATAGAAGAAGTAGTGGTAGTCATTATCAGTCTACAGGGTCCAGCAAGCATAATAGTTCGAGGCAGCCAAGTCGTTACCTGGGGAGTAGTTCTAGGTTAGTTTTTGAATATTTTCTATTTTTACTTCATATTCAGTAGTAATATCTCAAAAAATTACTAGAAATATTTATCTTTCTGTCTTTTTTTGACATATGATATGTCTTTCGGGGTTATCTTTTTTATATTTTTTGCGAATGGCCATTATGATACTATTAGAATCAATGGCAACTCAATAATTGACAGTATAGTTAGTTGACAATAAGTGTTTGAAAAAAAGCAAGAGTGTAGTAAAATGAAAACAATTAGTGAAATTTTTCTTCTGAAGATTCTGATAGATTGATGATTTGTCTGATTGATTCGGCCGTTATTTGATGGAAATCCATACTAATTTCATAAACTATACACCTTATGATTTGATCTCCACAAACTTTATTTGAGAAATATACCACGACATGTTTCACTAACACAGTAGCTTCTTCAACAGTGATTTGAATACTACAAGTTGCTTCTTACACTAATATTTATTTACCACAGGTAACTACAATTGAGACCACCTCCATCAAATTACCTAAACCTCTACAACTTTTATATACCTGAGGTACATCTTCAATTATGATTACCTGAAGAATATTACCTCACTTCTACATCAATTATAATACTTCCTGGTTTTTTTTTTATAATAAAAAAACAAGTTCAATATTGGTGATCTATTCAAATGATTCAGTTTCAAACCTTTATTTTCTCGTCGTTAAAGATATGATTTTCTTCTAAAAGATGATTTGTATATGTTGAACTTGTTTTCTTATTTACATAGCTCATATGATGTTCCTGGATTCGATTCCTAAATGTTGTGCCAGGACACGTTCCACACTTAAATTTATATACTCCTGATTTCTCGAATTTGGATGTTTGTCTTTAATATTTTTAAGTAACTTTCCCAACGTATTAGGTACTTGTTCCATATGCAATTTTAATATCGAATTTCCTCAAAAATGAAGCTTTATTTCTGAGGAAACGAGATATTAAAATAACATATAGAACAAGTAATACCTTGGGAAAGTTAGAAAAATGAAGCTTCATTTTTGAGAAAACGAGATATTAAAATTGCATATTGAACAAGTACCTACCTAATATGTTGGGAAAGTTAGTTAAAAGCAATAAAGACAAATTCGAGAAATCAGGAGTATATAAATTGAAGTGTGGAATGTGTCCAAAGGTATATATTGGTCAAACTGGCAGAACATTTAGGAATCGAATCCAGGAAAATCATATGAGCTATGAAAATAAGAAAACAAGTTCAACATATTCAAATCATCTTTTACAAGAAAATCAAATCTTTAACGGAGAGTTCGAAATTTTACACATAGAAAATAAAGGTTTGAAACTGAATCATTTGGAAGCAATGGAAATTAATAAAGTTGAAAATGCAAACATTCTAATGAATGACCAACTGGAGTTGAATAGATCACCATTATTGAACATATTTTCTTAAATAAAAAAAAGGAAGTATTATTATTATTGATGTAGAAGTGAGGTAATATGCCTGAGGTAATCATAATTGAAGAGGTACCTCAGGTATATAAAAGTTGTAGAGGTTTAGGTAATTTGATGGAGGTAGTCTCTATTGTACTTACCTGTGGTATATAAGAAGCAACTTGTAGTATTCAAATCACTGTTGAAGAAGCTAACTGTGTTAGTGAAACATGTCTTGATATATTTTTCAAATAAAGTTTGTGGAGATCAAATCGTAAGGTGTAGTTTATGAGATGATTGATGAATTCGTAGTGATCTTAGGTCTGTCATTGATGAATCTCGGTTGTAATTCCAAAAAACATCAATACTATAAGAAAAATGATGAAAAATAACGGTGGTGAATTTTAACTGATTACCAATTTTTAGCTTATATTTTATGAGTATTTAATTATTTTTCTTCAATTTGAATAATACTTCAATCAATTTCTTTATTGAGTACACAATTATATTTATTAATCTACTCCCATGTTTACTTCAAACTTTTATTTTCCATATGTGATTGTACTGATTTTGAGATAAAAGAGAGCCGAAGTTAATTCTCTCACACGTCCAATTGGCTATATATTTCAAGAAGTCTAGTGTGTCGCTTGATTTGTAAGCTATCACTCAAAATTTTACCACTGTATCGCTTTACAACGTTTCATAACGTTTCTTTCACAGTATATTCAGTTAACTACTTTCTGAACCAATACAAAAGAGTTGGCATAACGTAGATAGAAGCGTTGTTTGCCATATCACAGACTGCAATTCTATTGAATTTGTTCCTCATAGATTTCGCTCAACTTGTCCGGCGCACAAAAAAATGTTTGTGTGAATTGATGCAGATAAATGCCCAAAAATTCAACTTGGAGAATCTCATTAATTCCCATTGAAATAGAAAAAAATGTGACCATTCTGTGCCTTTATGCTTTTGATTTATTCTAACTACGTTTGCATGAGATCATATTCGGCTACAGCAACAATCAGAAGGCATTCACATTATCTCATTCGAAGGTACAGTATTAATCGATAAAATTCAAAATTACTATCCAAGCGTATATAGAGAATCAATAGAAATTCAAAAATACAGAGATAGTTTCAATAGAAAATAAGAGGCAATGAACATAAATAAATTCTGGCTACGTACACAAACAAGGTTAGGCAATACAATTAAGAGAAATCAAGCGTTCAGAACAACAACTCGAGCACCAACTCAGGCAATGCGACCTTACCACATCGCCTTTGTTTTTTTTAAGGACAAAACAGAATCCTACAGGAAAATCCTCAAGGCGCTCTAAGAGCGGTGCCTGTGGGAAAATAGCGATTAATATTGTATTTCAATCGCTGGAGATTAAATCCATTTGAAAAAACGTTCTCAGGAAGTTTATTCCACATAAAAGCAGTTCTCCAAATGAAAGAGTTCTCAAACAGTTAAGTTCGAGGTGTACTCAGTTGAACCTCAAAACGATGAGCAGCCACAGTCCGTCGCGTATTTCTGATATGTACCGCTCTTGGTAGAATCAAGTGAGCCAAGTCACTTGAACATTCCCTGTGAAGGTATCTATAGAAGAGAGACAAATTCCCAACCTTTCTTCAATGTTCCAGACTATCGAGGTTGCAAGTGATGTTCGCGTCTCCAATCAGGAGGTTGGCTCTTTTCTGGATGGAATCCAGCAGTTTCAGGGTATGCTTAGGGGCGGAGCTTGATGCATAAGAACAATACTCTACTGCAGTAGTCGACGAAACGTCAGGCATAAAAACCTGCAGACCACGGCCAGAAAACTCGGAAAATAGCTTTCACGAGAATATTTTTGATAACTTTTTCATTAAAGTTGAAGGACATGGTAATCTCCAGTTCTTATTTTGACGGGGAAAACGGAGCTAATTCATTTTGGGTTACACATATTGAAGGATTCAAAGAAATGGTAGCGTATGAATTCTATATTGAACAAAAGTCTTTTTTGTGCAGGAAATCAGGGTTTTTTATTCGCCTTTCTGTGGATTTTCATTTTCCACAATTTGAAACAAATGAAAATTGTAATGTGAGAACTTTATAACGAGCCTCACTGCAAGGTAAGGTATGTTGTGTTCAGAGAGACTGGTACCAATACTTCTTTTCGTGGTTCCAGTATACACCGACCCGCATCTACAAGGAATCCGTGGCGTGGTACCCCGGGTGTTGCTAAACGTACCTGACCTTAGACTTTCTCTGCTAGTTTTTCTTGTCCTAAATATTGGTTTCACGTCGTGTTTCTCTATAATCTCCAAACCAGTTCTATTATATTTTTAACATAATCCGGCGGTGGCAAACTTTTTCATGGAAAATTTCGAACAACGGGCCTTAGAGCAAACGACAGTGAAACCACTGTGTTATGTTGTTGACATGTTCGTGGTATGGCAAGATGACGAAGAGACGCTAAACGATTCTCTATTATATCGCTAAACCGAAGGTACTCTAAGGCCTTCTTGGATGTTCTTGTGAGCAGACGTGAAGGTGGTACATTAGGCCACAGAGTGTACAGAAACCCATACACACAGACAGGTACTTAACAAAAACTCTAACCACCAGCCACAACAACAGAGAGGGGCAATTAAATGTATAAAAAATCGTTATATTTTACATTTAAGTATTAACATTCGTTCATGTTGCTTCTCTCCTCTTTCCATGCTAGCTTTTATATGACTTTGGATACGTTTCTTTTTGACCGATATTACATCTTTTTCGTCTAACGGATCATTACAAATAACATATACCATATTGAGCATTAATTAGCAGTTATTAGCAATTTATTGTTTGAACAATTATTAGAAGAGATATCGGTAAAAAAGTCAATAAACATACAATAACAATCTTAATAATCGTGAGCGGTAAGTGATACAAAAAATATTATTGAACAAAAAAGATAAGAAATTCAATTGTCTATAATAAAATTCCTTATAATTGTGGGCCTCAAATGCACGGTTACGGAGATACAGACCCAAACGGTTTTTCGCAAAATGGCGGCAATTCCGTTCGTATTATTTGTAAATATTTTATGTTTTTAGGTTCATTACGTCATACTGCACCTATTTGTGAAAAAAATCACTCCTGCCGAATTATGAAAGACAAAATCCTCTATTCTCTGTACTTGTCTTTATGCCAATGGAAGTAGGAGGCCGGTATAACTATTCTCGAAGCGACGCGACACCTAGAACGATCGACCACCAGTCGAGTTGAGCGCGACCTTGGCCACGTCAAAATTGATTTATGATGGCCAGCGGCGGCCGGCGTTATTTTTTTTCAGGGGATGATTTTCAACAATATTACATGATATTTGTTATATTTTACTGACAGACTTTTTTTATATTCGTGAAGTATATTTTTTATATTTATAGATGATGTACCTTTTCAATATGATTGTTTCGTGGTATAACAATTCTATTACTCTCTCAAGCTCTCAACAAGGCCCTGTCTCTAATAAATTTTATAAATTTCAGTCGACCAACTGTATACCACCAATATTCAAGAACACCTCAACAACAGAAACCCGAAAATTCCAGATCTAGTTTGTTTTCTCCTAGGCATATTACTGAAGAAGAACAACCTGATTGGGCGGAGAGATTGATTAACAAAGGGTTTTTTGACCCACCAAGTGAGGGTACTCCTCAGTTTTTTCCTCGAAAGAGTAAGTAGCACCTTATAATTATTTTGAACATTTACCTCGTTTGTGTTTTAAATCTAAAAACATAGAATCACAGTGCACCCCGCCATGCATGAACTGTCGCCATACGGCCCCTAGGAAATATTTCAATTGGAATTGCATATTTTTTTCTAATTATTCTAATCGATTATATAATGCATACAAATACTGGAAACATGAGATAGATGCCAAAAACATGAATAATTAGTCAGAAAAAAATTTATAAAATTGTATACCAAATATTGACAATTAAAACGGTCGACCATTTGGCGGACATTTCTGCAGAGACAATTCTCTGTTCAGCTTCATCACATACCGCTGTTACAGAGTAACACTTCTGTTTCACATTATGTTCGGGAGTAATACGAGCTTTCACTACACATATGTTTGCTTCCCTATTTACTTGAACATATCCAATAGCTGAATCGCCATAAGAATATCTTTCGGACCTAAAAACACAAATATTATCAGGTTAGAATAAGAAGTGATTGTAAACATTTTCTTAAACAAATTTTTCACTACATTATTTGAGGTTATGTACACTTTTTCAATGTTAGTAAGCAAATAACTAGAAAACTGAACGAACAGCTGAAATTAAAGACACTTATACACAATAATCATTCAGGTACCTTGCAGCTTTGAAGCCTCTAATCTCAGCTGAAGTGAAATCGGGATGATTTGCGAAAAAACTTGTCATCATGAAGACATCTATTCTCGGCAAATTGTTAGATTGTGCCATGACAAATCCGGCTTCAGTCATTGTATTTATTTTCTGGGACGTTCACAGTAATGATAAAATGATAACAGCCAAATAACTGCTTGCAAAACTCTAATTAGACGGACAAACAATAATAGAATAGTACAGAACAGCATGTAAATAAATGTTGTTGACATGGACTTTGACATCATCTTAAGATCCTACCAATCCCGTTGCGTTTTACCTAATTTGAATCTGTCTCGTAATTTTTACGTTTTCAATTATGAACTATTTAAAATTTATAAAGTATATAGTCATGTGAACCCATTTACATTGATCTGGTATCAAAATAGATTAAGAAAAAAATTAAAATGAGCTATTTTATATTACATGCATATGACCTATTTATAACAAACTCACCACATTTGTTTTACCATGCACCAGAAAAATGAATATAGGTGCTTGAAATCACCAGATTGATTGGTTCTATAGGTAAAAGGTAATCATACCTTGTGTGGAGTTTTCTCAGGTTCTCAAAAATATCTGGCTATTTGCAATGGACTTTACCAGTACTTGATGAAAATTCATGATAATTTATTTAGGTAATACTTTTTATTTCAGATTATAAGTAAACAATTTATAAAAGTGCAACACGTGTTTGACTATATGATACATTCAATATAGTTTGTATCAGATACACCTGAAGAAGATAGTATACGAAGTCTTTTCAACAAATTTTCACTTTTCTCAAAAAATATTAATCATCAAACTCTATTTTGTCCCTTCAAAATAGTCCCTCTCAAATGTAGTACACTTGAGCCAGCGTTTTTTCCAACCCCCGTAGCAGTCCCAATATGCATTTTTTGGTATGTCCTAGACCTCTCTCAGCGATTTGGTTTTTATCTCCTCGATCGTCGCAAAACGACTTCTTTCGTGGGTCTCTTCAAACTTGAGAATAGGAAAAAGCCCCATGGAGGCAAATCTGATGAATATAGTGGCTGAGGCATGATTACGTTGTTTTTGGTGAAAAAAATATGAACAATCAATGACTAGTGAGCAGGTACATTATCGTGATGCAAAAGCCATGAATTGTTGTTCCACAATACCGGACCTTTTTTCGTATTGAGCAAGCGCCGCATAACTTCAAGATAATACTCCTTATTGACCATACAACTATGTGGTAAGAACTCCTGATGGACTATGCCACGGTAATCGAAGAAAACATTGATCAAAACATTGACATTTGATCGAACTTGGCTGGTTCTCCTGGGCTCTTCCATTGGGACGATTGTACTTTGGGTCGATGTCATAACCATAATACCCATAATTAGTCACCAGTTATAATCCTTTTAAGCAAATCTGGATCGCCGTTGACGTCATCCAACAATTCCTGAGCGATGCTCATGCGACGTTTTTTTTTGGACAAAATTCAGCAATTTCGGAACGAACTTTGCCTCCACTTTTGGACTTCATGTCCAAAATTTCTGAGCCATGAGTCATGAGCCAACCGATATATCGACATCCTCAGCAACTTCTCTTAAAGTGATTTGACGATTCTTCATAACAATTGTCGTCACCTTCGCAACATTTTCATCGGTTGTTGAAGTTCTGAGGCTTCCACGAACGTCGTCGTTCACACCTTCTCGACTTTTTGTGAAAAGCTTGTTCCACTTGTAAACATTTTCTACACAAAACTTGATGCAAATTCTTGTATCCTTTTTTTTGATAGCAGAAATTCGCCGAACACGCAAAACACATCTAACTTTTATGCCCCTCACCAACAAACTAAACATGCTAAACAGCTGAAACTGTGAACATATGTTCGAGACGAGTGTACCAACAATATAAAAAATCACTAGTCGAATGTAGATAGCCCCGTAAATTTGAAGATTCACCTCATTTCAGGTCCTGTATAGTGAAACACATGCTGCGGTTTTATAAACTGTTTAGTGATCATACGCTATCTGACTATCCTTCAAACTACAAATGATAGACGCCTTTCCTTGAACTTCTTGTTGAAATTCTCAACGAAAACTATACAGCGTGACTCATGGTCGATGGTAGGTTAGACGTTTCTGGAAAACGCAAAGCATGATTTTTCTGAAAATTTCACCTCTCACATTTCCTTACCTGTTCTATCGATCTAAAATATTTTCAGCATTGCGGCGTTGCCACTTCCATCAAAAAGTCCTAGCAACTTTATTTTTTTAAATGGAACATCCCGTATATTAATACATTTTTGGAATCGCTCTGGTATTTTGATACTTTCTTGTTAATAATGTCCTATACCTATCTCTATCTGTTTTCGAGATACAAAATAAATTGTGCTAAATATGCTCCAAAACATAGCCTTAATTGAAATTAAGTACATCAGTACTCTCAATTCATGAAAAGTTGATATTTTGATGATAGTTTGGACAAACTCGAAATATTCAAATAACATCAAGAAATCGACTCCATATCATCCAGGGCGTGCTAAAATTACTATTATTTCCATTGTGCATAAAAGTAGTCAAAAGTTCATTTTTTCAAATGAAACCCCCTGTATATTACTCGGTAAATTGAAAGATGGTGAAAAATGCTCCGAGATGATATATCATATCCCTATACCTAAATCGTCAAGTTTTCTCAATAGTCGCTTCTTCTAGAAACATTTTTTTTTTTTAGAATTTGGATTTATGTAGCAGTGGAATTATCAAGCTTATAACAGTTTGGTTACTTTTATAAGTAATTTACAAGGAGTTATCAATGGTGTTTCGAATCATCTTCCAAAATGAATGCAAATATCGATTATTCAAACGAAGTTCTTATGTAATTATTTATTATACACACGAACAAAGTGATCAAATCATTGTCAGAACGTGTAAAAAATTCAACCAAATGTATCCTGAATTATTGGCGATTTTTTGAAACACCGTCAATAACCATTTATCAATTACTTATAAAAGTCACCAAACTGTCATAAGCTTGATATTTCCACGGCTACCTAGAAATCAAATTCTTTAAAAATTATTTTTTGTACAACTGTTATTGAAAATCTCTATGATAGAAACACTTCAATCAGAACACCTACCAAAAAATCATTTAGAAAAGTTCACACATGCAATTCGTGCTATTGGTAATATTAAATCCCTGTGAAGTTACTGACGATGACGAAGTAGTATTCAGTCCAACTGTAGAAAGTCCTTCATGACTAACCAATAATCCTCCTTAAAATAACGTGAGTTTGCGTATGTAGTTGTAACATATGCCTTGAAATCCAAAGATCGTGTGTTCAAATCCCATGGACTCTATCATTTTTTTATTATCAGCAGTAACGTTTTACAAAAAAATTTGTATTATACATTTGTTTTGCTGAATCGTTCAGTATATATCCTTCCTATTCCTATAGTTTTTGAAAACATTTCTCTGACAGTATCTGAATAAGGAAAGCGATAAATGACATTTCAGTGACAAAAACTTAACTTTCATGTTTCAAAAATAATTTCAAAAGGCCCCAGTGCTCTGATATATGAAACGTTTTCACACAATATTTTTTTAAAACTCCACTTCATTACCTCAAGCTTCTAATGGAAACTTGGTATGACAACAATAGAAATAGTTACTACATTGCACTCGTGAACCCGATAAAAACGCAGAATAACGATTTTACATTGGATGGTGTTTGAGATATTTGTAGCCAGAGTAGAGAGTAGAATAATTTATTGACTACATTTTAATATTTGCAAAACATGTTTATAATACACAAAAACAATTTCATTCACTTTGAAATGATGTTAACAAAACATAGTTTTGCCAAATTCTGTGAATATAAATAATAATAATAAAAACTTGAAATTGCCAATTCCTTTAACAAATTTGGTCAGGAATTCTATTTTATTACAATGGGGTCAAGATGTTTTTGTATAAGTGTTGATAATATTTTTAAACAAATCTGTACACAATCATGTTGATACAAAATTTCAGCGTTGAACTATAGTGTATGTTCTAACTTTACTTTTTTGTAGGTGTTTTTATATTCACATTTTATATTTCTATACTTACATTTGTATTGATTTTTCACAAACTTTGTCCACAAGGTTTATTCTTAATAACAATCTTATTATTACACAGCTCATCAAAAAGAAATTTTTGTCTTGCTGCCTTGGTTAATTCATCTGTGCTGATTCCAAAAATAGAAACCTTTTCTTTGTATCAGCTCTAGTTTTCGAGATATAACATACTCATCAAATACTCAAATATTCTTACATTTCTGTATATTCCACCACTATAATTGCAATATGTTTATAAACAAACTTAGCAAATTCTGAGACAAATGCATACTAACGACTTCTAATTAAAGTGTACTTATTGCAAATGCCCATAACATGAAATTAGCGCTAATTGCTTCTTACCTATTGTCCGATAAGTAAATAGTATTTTCTCGGAAATGGCCTTAATAAATTCCTATAAAGTCGACTGCATTCCATTGTAAAATTAAGTCTCAACTTGAGTTTCCTTGCAAGAGTTTGTTTTTGACAACTGAAATCCATGGCTTCTACAAGCAGGCGTTGTTGTGTGAATAACCTGAACGTTTTTTGTGTGTGATGATTTTTGTAAGTATATTGTTGTACAATGAATATCTTACTTTTTATTCGTGTGTCGTTTATTTGATGGGTATCATCAGCACTACATATATGTAGGTAGTGCTGCGTTAAATTACCTTATATGTTAGAAATGTGATCTCTTGTCGTATTTTCTGAAAACGATCTGATGGAGTAAATCTGGTGGCATTTTTGGATTCAGCAGACCCAAATTACCTAGAAACAGTAAAAAAACTTCCGGCAGCAAACTGTGTGTTTACATTATTATTATAAATGGCCCAGTTGCGTCAGTATATTGTTTCACTATATGGAAACTGTTTTCAAGTAAGAATGATTTGATAGTTGGTTTAAAACCAAAGTTTTTGAATCGTAAGGTTCTACAGAGGAGTATCGGGTTATTTCAATAGTTTTGTCCGTTTTTATGAGTCTATTTTAAATTGTAATGTCCCAGTGAATACTTATTTAATTTAAATGAAATGAGCTTCATTTCAATCAGTGCACTTTTGTCAAAGTAACACAAGTTAATTAATTTCGTCCAAAAAACTGAGTGCTCGGAATTCGATAAAGTCGATGAAGGCCGTTTTTTGCTTTGTCCTGATTGGCGAAGGTTCTATCGCTGAGAAAGTTATCGAAGTGCTTGAAAAGATGGTAGTCGTTTGGCGAGAGCTCTGGAGTGTATGGTAGGTGAGGCAGAGCTTCGACGCTTAATTCGTTCAATTTTTGGACGGGCGTTGCCGCGGAGCAGGATCGGACCTCTTCTGTTGACCAGTGCCGGCTGCTGCTGACGCAATTTTCGATACATTTCGTCGATTTCCTCACAATACGATTCTGCTGTGATGGTTTGGCCCGGTTGCAGAAAGTTATAATAGTGGATCGATCACACCAGCTGCTGCCATCATATAGTAACCATGTTTTTTTTTATGGGTTTTCGCCATTGGGAAGTGCCCGGGTGGCTTATTAGTCACCACTGTCCTGAACGTCTCCTATTGTGGGGCACCTTTGGGGCACCCACTTCTCGAGTTTTTTGACCTTTCCAATACGCATGGGAGCTGATACTTAGACCTTCCATCATCCCTCGCATTGTTTGTGATGGGTCAGTTTCCAAACAGGGTCCTCAAATCGTCCTGGATTAATGTAGGTCGACCATTTCGAGGCTAAAATCTTCGGAACGAAGTTTCGCAAACCAACGTTAAACAATGCGTTCATCAACACTCTCATTGCCAAATGCCTGGTTGATTTTTAGGGCTGTTTCGGCAGCGCTGTGGTTCAATTTTATTTTGGTAGAGAAATATTGTCCGAAAATCGCTCAACGACATCATATAGTAATAAGCTGGAAGGAGGCAAAAATGTTGAAAAATTTGGAAAAAAAGAACAACATCCAAGTTTAGAGTACAAAATACAAAATTCCCTACCTAGCACAGTATAGGATATTCACGTTAAGAAGAGAATGACGTCATTTTTGATAATTTTGTATATCCAACATAATAACTTCAAAATTCCTAATGAAATGCGTTCGATAGCAATGAAACTATAGTAAAATTTCATTTTGTAAGTTGCTCAACTGATAGTAAAATTTCAGACGTTGCCGAATCGAAAACTGTCAGTTTTTCTTTTCTTTTCAGAACTAATAATTTCTTTTGATAAGTCCTGCATACGCAGGAATTGAATATACATTCAATATGCTTAAAGCATTGTCGAAACAGTCTCAACAAAGTTGTATTTCAACAAAGTAAATTAATAGTAAGAAAGGTTAAGAGTATTTTTGTTCGGGTGTGGAAATCGTTCTCAATAGATTTGAGATTAGGCATACTTGAATATCGTAGCTATCGTATGTGGAATAATTTTGAAATATTGTAAAGTATCTCTTACACTTGTGTACCTTCAACAGTTGTCATCTTGATTCAGAGGCATACTGTAGAAAAAAAAAAGATTGAATTTCATTGCGATTCGTATAATGTGAATGTAGAACTTTAAAACTGGGGGTATTATGATCCTACCTCAACTTGTATTTACTCAGCATAATTAAAACTTAACATATCTATAGTATGTATAAATAATGTATGTATTTGATTGCATTTTCTAGACTATATAGATAATTTAACGAAATCATTGGAATGAATCTGCAAAATATTCTCGAATAGAATTTTATAATTCCTCTTTAGATTTTTTCCAAGGATCTGATATTTTTTTGGTGACTAGCAAAGTGATTATAAGTTTTTTCCATTATGCAATATGTATTAGTGATTTGAGGGCCAGATTTGTAAGTACTTGCCATTTGATAAAATCTTGTTTTTATTTTCAGAGTGTTGTTCTTTTTTGCATTATGGACATTCTTTTCTGTATTGTCTTTCTAGAAGTTCATCATAAATTCATAAATAATTTCGAGAATAACTGGATATCCCAAAATAGTATTCAAGAAATTATGTAACTATCTGATTTTCTCTCTCTTTTGTGAATGGCCAATAGTTCATTTCAGTGGTTTATTCGACATATTGTGTATATTTTCAAAATAGTTTGTATGCAGCAGCTTCATTTGATAGATCATCGATATAAAGTTTAATTATATTTATTGACTTTTGCTTCTCTCAGTTCACAGGGTGGCTCAAAAAGCATCAGATGAAACGCACTGGAAATTAGGCAACTACTCATATAAGTACTAGGTGAATGAATGAATCCAACAAGAATGCTTTCAAGACAAGGACATAAGAACTATTCCTAGTTCTTTTTTTAAAGAACTGAGGGGCATGGATCTTGAGTAGCTAGTCATTTTTAACCTCCATGGAGAAACTGTTTATTGATGAAATAGACTGTATCTTAATTGAAGGAGTATGTGAATTGACTAAATGTGGTATAATTTATAACTTGAAGTACCCAACTTTACTATTTCTTCTGAACATCTATTGAATCCTAGTGGCTTCCAACGTTTTAGAAAAACTTTGTCTTCTCAAGAAGAAGTTTCTAATAAATTTTATAATGCTGCATTGCTGCAGAATTATCATTTCTAATGGGAAGTCAGCTGCTCCCATGTTAATCTTCAGAAGTAATTTGAACGAGTTGAAGAATGGCAAGCATCTTACTTCTGGGGTAAATCAGCACTCAAAAAGTTTTCATTGAATTCAACAGCTCATGTGGAACCTGCACTCTGTATTACTTTCAGGAGCCGATACAATTACAATATTCATTGGCAAAGTTTGTGAGTCAACAAGATTCCCTCGGTCCATTGCTATCAGGGAAAACAATTTTTCGAATTGCTCAATTTTTATCCCAGTCATATCGATAAATACTATCTTTTAAAATTATTTTCTCGCAAACTGGGACACATAGTATATGAACACCTAGTATATGAATACGTCATTTGATTCCATATTTTTTTAGCTCTTTAAGGACTTTCTGTTTTCGAATTTCCATTGGGGCATTGCCAAGTTATTCCAGAAAAACCTATTTTGCAGACAAATATTTTTTTAATTCACCACCCGCATGTCTAACAACAATTAAGTGGAATAGTTAGTCAACATCACTGTGATAATTTCGGAAATCTCAACTTTTAAAACAATATATAGGGTGCTTGGTAAAACCGGTCAAGTTTCATTCATTTGTATGAAATGTTTCAACATTTCAATACATTTTTTATCAGAGGTATACTATACAAAAAACAGATATTTTACAAACTATACCCAGTTTTATCAATTGTTCTAACTACAAAAAAAGTCTTTATTTACGTTCACTTACTCAAAATTTTTTCAAAATGACCAATAACGCATAACTTTTTTATTGAATAGAGGAATCCAAAAGATGTTCAAAATGACGACCATTTTCTGCAACACATAGTGCCAGTCTTTTTTAAAACGAATGAGAAAACCCTAATTTCCTGGTCAGGTCTCAGGTACTCACATGGGGACTTTAAATAAGGTGAAGAGCAATTTGAATGGTATTTTCCTAATTTGTTACAGGGCAGACACGTTCGAACTTCTAGTGATTAACATTACCAGTTCTTTCAAATCTTGTTTTTAGAGCCTGAAATGCCCTTCCATCTGGTTGTCTTCTTTCGGGGAACTTCTCTTTATAAATCCTAGATGGAAGAAGGCATTTTCCGTCACTTTCCCCCAAAGCATAGATCATTTGCACCATATCTTCCAATACATATTTCATAATGAAAATGATTCAAACTACACTCGAAAGAAATTTACACACATAGCGAGATTTTTTTTTTTAAGTAATATAAATGTTCTTTAGGTTTTTTACGCATTTTTCACCGTTGAAACCGCTGATAAATATCACTAGATGGTATGAAAAATGCTAATGTACTCACGATTTGATCTCCACAAACTTTATTTGAAAATATATCACATCACTTCACTTTCAAGTGATTTATAACGTATAAATCACTTGAAAAAGCTAATGTCTTAGCGAAACATGTGATATATTTTCAAATAAAGTTTGTGGAGATTTATACGTATGAATCACTTGAAAAAGCTAATGTCTTGGCGAAACATGTTGTGATATATTTTCAAATAAAGTTTGTGGAGATCAAATCGTTAGGTGTAGTTTTTGAAGTTACTATGGATCTTCATCAAGTAACGGCCGAATCAATCAGAAAAATTTGATTTTTTGAATATTTCAAAAACAAATTTGAGTGAGTGAACGTAAAACATACGTTTTTTTGGTGGTTACAACAATTACTAAAACTTGGTATAATTTGTAAAATATCAGTTTTTCGTATAGTATATCTTTGATAAAAAATGTAGTGGAATGTTGAAACATTTTATACAAGTGAAAAAATACAGAGTGTTCCCTTTGAAACAGTTGAATTATTTCTATTTGAAAATATGTGAAACTTGACCGGTTTTACCAAGCACCCTATATATTGTTTCCGAAAGTTGAGATTCCAGAAATTATCATAGTTGACTAACTATTCCTAAAAAGAAAAAACTTAATTGCTGTAAATATGCAGGTGGTGAATTAAAAAAAATATTGCCTGCAAAATAAGTTTTTCTGGAATAACTTGGCAATGCCGCAATGGAAATTCGAAAACAAAAATTCTTTAGAGAGCTAAAAATATGGAATCGAATGACATATTCATATACTGGGTGTTCTATTTGAAAAAATTTTACTTTGGTTGGTCACGCTCGGCTGAATCACCCAGTATGCGAGAAAATAATTTTGAAAGATAGTATTTATCAATATGATTGCCAAAAAAATTGAGCAGTTTGAAAAATAGTTCTTTTGATAGCAATGGACCGAGGGAATCTTTTTGTTGTGTTGTGGAAAAAATGTATAAACAATATATAATTAATTTCATTGATTTCAGGTAGTGACTACTTGTCGTGGAATAGAGAATAGAATATCCTTCATTCGCCATAAAAAATACAATAGTATTATAAGGTTTTGGCAAATATCATATATCATAAGAATACCATGAAAACACTAAATTATTAAATAAAAAATAAACAAGTTCATATCTTGTGTCCTATCTTGCTTCGTTTCCGAGTAACAGGGTGTCACAGTTTTACTAAAAACATTGTTCTTTAATAAAAATAGATGTATTTGTTAGCAGTTATAAGGGGATTATTATCCGTAATTAGACATCACCCGAAGACTATTGTGGATACTAACAATCGAAACGTCGTGAAGTAACTTGACTTGGAATCTTTTACTTTTTAATTTTCATTCCCTGATAATAATTTTTAATTTTCATCTCGCGTTATTAGTTCAGTTTTTTGGTTTATTGATTGTTGCTTATATTTTATTTCATTGTGAGCCCTGAAAGAATCTATAAAAAATTAAAAAGATTAACTGACAAATAGCAATTATATTAATCAAAAAAAACTTAAATCACAATGAAATAAAATGGAAGTAACAATCAAAAAACTCAACTATTTCCACGAGATGAAAATTAAAAAGTATTAACAAGAAATAAAAATCANACAAATTTTATGTACCCCCTTTAAGGGGCTGTATCTTAACAAGGGATGCTCCAATGACTTTTTCAGTGCTTGTGAAAAAAAATTGTTATACAAATTTTATGTACCCTCCTTTAAGGGGCTGTATCTTAACAAGGGATGCTCCAATGAAAGATCCTGTCTTTTTTTCGATGAGGAATCACTTCTTAAATGTTTTACACTTATTCAGTTACACCCTGTATATTCAACGGAGAGTATCGCAAACATAGTCTTGTTAGTGACTTCAAGTTTCAAAGGCACATCAACTCTATTTCCAAGAGGATCATTTTGTGGTCAATAAATATATATTGATGGCGAAATTACAATACTATACAAACAATTAAAACAGCTACTTCATGAATTGATGAATGTTGCCGTAACTACGTGGTAGGAAATTATAATAAAGAAAAGAGAAATGAAACTTTATATGTTTTTTACCACTTTTATTTGTAACTAACGTTATTGCAGTTTCGTCCTATACGGACATTTTCAAACTTATACAATAAACTAACAATGATTCATACATTCGCCAGTATATACCACCCCTGTATGTACTAACAGAAATAGAGGTACTTGACTTTATTGAGTACCTAAATTTACAGTTCACAATGCGGATGTGCCAATTTAAAAACTGGCGAGTAAACTAAATCTGTTTAAAAAATCTGTTTTTCCGTTAATCAGCTGTTGATCATTTAACAGGTTGTACCCGCAATGTTTATGCCTGTGAATTTCCAAGGATTCTAAATAATTGAGTTTGCAACCCTTCCTTGCATAGTGCAGATTTTCGGTATCGTTTAGATTCGGAAACTTGTAGTTGCATGCCAAGGAATGGTTTGAAAACGTCGAATAATTTTTTCCTAGTCTGAAAGACCTTTCATGTTCAGCATACCGTTTTTGGAAATTTCGGCCACATTGTCCCATATAAACACTATTACACTCCGAACACTTAAGCTTATAAACTCCAGATTTTTCCAACTTGTCGACCTTATCTTTGGCATTGAAAAAGAAATCAGATAACCTGACATGTGGTCTGAATGCCACTTCCACATTGTTTTTTATGGAGAAACCCGCAATTATCTCTGTCCTTTCACCAAAATATGTTAGCGTTACCCATTTCTTGATTTCTGGTTGTTTGACCTGAAGGTATATTAATCTGTAAGTGAATTTCCAGCTTTGTTTTCTGACTAACTTCTGAATAGTATCTGCGATGAAACCGTTATTATGACCTATCTGTGTAATTATATCAATTTCCCTAGCTAGATTGTTAGCAGACAAAGGCAGTGAGAATTCTCTGTGCAACATTGAATTGTAGGCTGCTAATTTATGACTGTCTGGATGGAAAGAATCGCTTGGGATGGTGATGTCTGTATAGCTAGATTTTCTGAAAACATTGGCCATTACACACAATCAGAATAAATTTGAGTTCAATGTTTTCAGAAAACCTAGCTATACAGACATCACCATCCCAAACAATTCTTTCCATCCAGACAGTCATAAATTAGCAGCTTACAGTTCAATGTTGCACAGAGAATTCTCACTGCCTTTGTCTGCTAACAATCTAGCTAGGGAAATTGATATAATTACACATAGTAATGGTTTCATTGCAGATACTATCCAGAAGTTAGTCAGAAAACAAAGCCGGAGGAAATTCACTTACAGATCAATATACCCTCAGGTCAAACAATCAGAAATCAAGAAATGGGTAACGCTAACATATTTTGGTGAAAGAACAGAGATAATTGCGGGTTTCTTCATAAAAAACAATGTGGAAGTGGCATTCAGACCACATGCCAGGTTATCTCATTTCCTTTTCAATGTTAAAGATAAGGTCGACAGGTTGGCAAAATCTGGAGTTTATAAGCTTAAGTGTTCGGAGTGTAATAGTGTTTATGTGGTACAATGTGGCCAAAATTTCCAAAAACGGTATGCTGAACATGAAAGGTTCTTCAGACTAGGAAAAAATTATTCGACGTTTCCAAACCATTCCTTGGCATGCAACCACAAGTTTCCGAATCTAAACGATACCGAAAATCTGCACTATG